TGATTATAATTACAATTATAATTTTTTTTTTCAGGTTTATTCTGTCCTTTACTTGCAATTATAAGCGCATTTGGTTCAATTTTATGGATGGGTTTTTTATACAACGCCGTTGTTAACATATCACCATTTATTGTCTTTTGTAAGTTCATTTCAATTATTTGAAAATAAAATTCATCAATTTCATTCAAACAAAATTTAAACTTTTTAACATTTTTATTGCTAATGGTATTTGTGTTAATTAATAATATTATGCAGAAAATATTAAATTGCATTTATCCCTTCAAACATCTCAACATTTTACAAACTGCAATTATGCATTTTACTGAGAAAAAAAAGAGCATAAAGGAGGAAGAAAAAAATTTTTCCAAACTAATTTCCGTAAAGAAAAAAGTTTTCTTAATTAATGTAATTAAAAAAATGTGATTTATTTGTTAATAATTGCAAAGGTATTGGTGTGGACGATATGTTCATAATGAGTGCAGCTTGGCATCGAACTAATATTGAACAGAATGTTCCATATCGTTTGTCCGAATCACTCGCCGAAGCAGCAGTTGCAATATCAATAACAACGATCACTGATATGGTATATCATTCATTCCTCTTATCACCAATAACATTTAAATATATACTATCATATTGCTAACAAAGTGATATTTTAGATAATAATGAATGGAGTATTTTAACGATCCCTATGTTAATTGTGATATCATTAGAAATCATAATTTATCAAATAATCGAAAAATGAACTAAAGATGATAAAAATTTCGCATATATCTGTATATTTATAAGCAATTACAAAATACTATCATTGATTCATCAAATAACGGTAAATTTACTAATTGTTCTTTTTTTTTTTCAGTTAACCTTTGGTATTGGTTGCTTAACAACATTACCGAGTGTACAAATGTTTTGTTTCTACACATTTATGGGTATAACATTTACCTATCTTTATCAGTTGACTTTTTTTACCGCTGTTATGGCATATAGCGGAAAACGAGAAGGTGAAGGATTGCACGCGATAACATTAAAACCAATAATCAATCAGCAATTAGCCGGTTAGATGAATTTTTATTTCTTCCTTTTTTTTTTCTTGTAACAAGCAATCTCATTTAGATTTATTTATTTCAAAAGTTTTAAAACTTGTTTTTTTCATCTCGTTGAAATGATTTCCTCTTTTTTTTTCATTTCAGATACTTTATTTAAAAAAATATTCCTAACGGGTAGTTTACCAACAAAATCGACAATTTCAACGATACCATTGGAAACTGTAAAAAAAAATGAAAAGATGGTGAAATACGTAAAAATAACGTTAAGTGAAAAAATACTTGAGAAATTCATGAATTTTAAACAAAATCTTAATAAGGTTAGCATTTTTTTTTCCTTTTAACTATTGCAAAATGGAATATTAATGTTGCAAATAATAATTCATCAGAAGATCAAAGTGGCATCAAACTGATAACATCTTTGTCGAAATGATTAGATAAGGAAGCTTGATAAATCATTTTATGATAACGATGATAATAAATGATGATAAAGTACTTTTATGAGGTATTATTTAAGGAAACATAGTGCTAAATGAAATAAATTATAACATAAATTACATTTCTGGCTTATACAGATAAGTATGATAACATGACAGAGCATACTCTGTGTTTAATGAAAAAAAAGTATCTTTATTAAATTATACTAATATCAGAATAAAAAAGCATTTTAATTTTGGTAAGATTTAAATGTTCATTAATAGCTTGTAACATTGGTTAGCGAAATCAAAAAATTGATTGTAAATTTAAAGAATTAATTATTTAATTACCAATAATAGTAACTGTGAATAATTGAGCATTTTAGGAATTACCCAAATCGAAGCATCGCGAAACAATGATTTCAAAAATATTTCGCGACTATTATGGTCCTTTCTTGCTTGATCGCTTCACCAAAAAAGTTTTCATTTTTATTTACATCATTTACATATCGTTAGCAATATTGGGTTGCACGATGTTGAAGGAAGGTTTGAATCCGAAATTTCTTGTTTTGGATTCATTTTATCTCAGTAAATTCTATACATTAATGGATGAAACGTTTTGGGAAGAAGGTATAATCAATTTAATTAATTTCAAATAATTTGTTAAATTTGATTTATTAATTGCCATCCATAAATGCGACAAAAGATCGTCTTTCGCTTAATAGTGGAAATATTAAGGTAGAAAGAAAAAAAAAGTGTTGAATGTATTCCGTTTCAAAATTTTCAAAAATTATCTGCGGGAGATTAAAAAAAAGGTTTTTAGTTGAACCGTATGAAAAGATTGCCGACAGAAAAGATCAAACGTTTAAGGAAAATGTAAAATTCATATTTGGTTTCAATTTCGATTCCATCTAAATTGTTTAATATTTAAAATAAGTGTGAAAAATTAAATAATTTAAGTGTTGTACTGTATGAAAAAATGAATCTTGTAATGGATAGAACGAAAATAATATACGCATTATTGAAATTTGTCTTCGTGAGCTTTTTTGTTGTAAAATAAAAAACAAAATAACAAAAAAATGGAATTCCAAATTTTTGAAATTAAATATTATGTAGAAAAAATGAAAAATTATAAATTGTTAAGTCGTCGCTATAACAATTCTCAAATTGAATTATTGGATGATGAGCTCCGTCTAAGTGACATTCCATGAAAGGTTCATGATTTAGGCCTGCAAATGCAAGTTGTGGTAAATTCACCACCTGATCTGTTTGACCCTATGGAAAGAAAGGAGTTCCAGAATATGCTCAGTGATTTCGAAAATACAGAATATACGATGCGACATAACGCAACAATGTTATGGCTCGATGCTTACGAAAGAAAGCTTAAAGAGGACTACGATTTCTCGAAGATCCCATTACCGAGAACGTAAATATCTTATAAAGTAGTGCTATTCTATCATAACTTCAATGATTTACTATTAATGAATGGATTTCATCAAGACTTTAATTTACAGATGTATTTATTTATATTCGGCCCACTACACTCATTTTAAATTCAGCAGCGAAGAATGGTACGAGCGATGTCGAGAATGGTTGATATCAGCTGGTGGACGACGTTTGTGGGAAAAGGATATGGTTTGGGGCAAAAATGAAAGTGATCTCAAAGTATGAGAGATTTTTGTGATTAATTTCATAATCATAGCTTTACACGGAATAAGTGAAAATAATCACTGCATTACTGATCAATCATCGTCATCACCACTTAATTAATATTCCCATTGTTTATTTCAAAATGATATTTAGCTTTTGTCATTTACGCTGCTATTTTTCTATTCTACCGAATGTTTGATTTTTAAATTTACTTTTGATTACTTCTCAAGTTTTAAATCGTAATTATTTGTCCTATTTTAAGACACAGCCACGAAGGATAAAAAGTTACTGTGAAATTATATTTTCATCCGAAATTTCAAGTGAAACTTTTATTTAAAATTTTCTTTGTAGTCCTATAATCATCTGTTTGCTTTTCGTTTCCAACTTGGACTACGAAATTACAAAACACCAACCGATCATATGCGAAGTGCAATTTTAATGCGGAAAATTTCCGCCAAATATGCAAAATTCAATATTACTACTTTTCATGAATACTATCCATTTGCAGATCAGGTACTGAAATTACTGTTTTTCTTTTTTGTCTTTTATAAAATTTAATCACATGAAAATTAAGCAAAAGAGTCTTAATAGAGAAACTCGAATTGATTTATTAAAATTAACCAGTTATTCAGTTTTACAGAATATCTCCTGAGACTGTCAATCTCGTTTGTTGGATAGGGAATTTTCTGCAATATTCATTATTTGATTAAGCATTCAATGATTCTTTTAAGTTTGCTCCACTTTTTACTAAGCATTCATATACATTAGTATTGCAATTTTAAATTTCAAAAAAATAAAAAATAAAAAAAATGTTTGCAGTACATTGAACTGAAACCGGCATTAATCAGGAACTGTCTACTAGCAATGGCGTCTATGCTTATCGTATCATTTGTTATGATACCAAGTTGGATTGCTGCATTTGTCATTGCATTTGCAATCTTCAGTATTGACATTGGTATATCAATGATATTTATTTCTGAATT